GGAAAAAAAAAAAAAAAAAACTAGATTGAAAGGTAGGAGGGTAAGGGTCATCTCAGCAACTGCTGGAGGAAGCAAGTAGAAGAGGCTTTAATTTTTAGGGGCTTGGGCATTCGGCAAGCTTGTGTGAATGCGTTGGACAGGAGTAAATGGAGGAGTCAAGGGAAACCAATTAGCTGCACCGAGTCTTGGAGATTGATAGGGCACTGCCTTAACTCTGAAGGAGGGGTGGAGATGTTGCAGTTGGAGGGTATCCTGTATTGTGATCACTGCTGTGGAGTGAGTCACAAGCAATTCTTGGGTTGTCGAGTTGGTAAAAATGTACCAACTCCTAATAAATTTAAATGGCACAGAATATAAATTAAACAATACTTTAATCTCAAAAGGAAGGGTTATGCACCTGAGTTCATTTCTTTTAAAATGGTTATTTATTAGTTGTTTTAGGTGTTCAATTGCTTTTTACTTTTTTGTAGTTTTAACTTTGAGTTCTTTTTAGTAATATCAAAGGATGTACTTCAGATTTTTTGAACTAGTAGTTATAGTTTTTCTTTTACATCCTATTACTTTATAGTCTTTTTATAAAAATATAACCTCACTGTTCCCAGTTTTCAAGTTTTGTCCTTTGTTCAACTATAAGGTTACTGAATGTTTGTAATTTCTTTAATAAAATAAAAAAAAAAAGCCAGAATGGCATAGCTACAGCATTTAGACTCGGGCTTTAACAGGTTACCGAGCTTGTATGTGGCATGCTTGCAATCCATATAGGAAATACATAATTAATACGTACAGCCTCTCCCCACTTAACAACGGAGGTTTCGTTCCTAAGACCACGTCAGTAAAGGAATTCATCGCTAAGCAAGGAGCATACTATAATGATATTGTTTGAATGTCGTCTTTGCACCATTTATAACATTTTTAGTATGTTTTTAAATGTTCATACAGTAGTGTACTGTATACTGTAATAAACTGAATAGAGAAAATCAGCTCTAATATACATTATCTAAGAATGCACACAGGTCAGACCCCCATCATAAGTCAGAGTCGTCAGTAAACAAGTATGTGTATATTGCTAAGTGAGGAGAGGCTGTATTTATAATTTATTCCCTATATCAATGTATAATTAAAGGAGTCGGAGGTGCCATGAATAAAGGAGTCAGCGTCGAAAGTTTTATGTGCAGATTCCACAGCCCTGATTGTGATACCAGCACACTTCTGACAACACCAATTCAATGACTGATGATGAACGAGTCTTTCACTGGATCACCTTGCCTTCGTGGGAGATGGCCATGGAGATTAAAAAAAAAATCTAAACCTGATATACTACACATATCTCTGAATGCTTTGTTTTCCCTGATGGCACACTATAGAATATAAAAATGCAATTATAAGTACGAGCTGACATTTTTCTGTACTTCATATGCCTGAAATATTTTTCCATTCTGTAAACCTTCAATTTTTCTTTACCTAAAATAGGCTGTCCAACTATTATTTTTAAATCTTCCCTCCAAGTCTACTAGTAGCCTTGGGCAAACAATCTTTATTTTTATTTTCCTAGTGCTGAAATGAGACCTATCTCAAAATAGATGCAATTTTACTTTCCCTTCTCAGTACAGTATACTGGCTGTCCACAACGCTACATCAGGTGGTGAAAGAGATGGTAAAGAGAGAAGTACTGAGGAAAGGACATTTTGGCAATTAGTGTTTAACAATGCATGTCAACTAGCCATTTTTATGGCTGACACGATTTTTTGTACAGTACAGTATAAAATATTTTTGACTTAAGAAATCGTAATGACACGATTGCAAATAAACCATACCCCCGGCCGGGATTGAACCCTATGGTGTAGAAATATACCTAGTTGGATGAATCTTATTGTGGCTAGCTGGTCTAGTGGTTAGCGCGACGGGCTGGAGTTTTGAGACTCTATGACCGCGGGTTCAATCCCGGCCGGGGTATGGTTTAAAATATTTTTGTTAGAAGTATAAGAGTGAAGTGTGAGCAGGGTAATATTTTGTGAAGGGAGTCAGGAAAACTGGTTAGCTGGACTTGAGCCCTGGAGGTGAGAAGTACAACGCTTGCACTTTAAAGGAGGGGTTTGGGATACTGGCTGTTTGGAGTGACATCTGAAGTGTATTAACTGGGTGCCTTTGCAAAGACAGTAATTGTGTGTGAATGATGGTGAAAGCGTTTCTTTTTTGGAGTCACCCTGTCTTGGTGAGAGACGGCCAACATGTTGAGAAAAAAAGTATAAGAGAAGGAATAAAATGCAGTTGTGGTTGCAGGGAATGAAAACGAACTCTTAATATACAGTGATAACAAGTTTAAAGCCCAAAGACACTGAAAGAAACAAAGGAAACTATACAAATACATTTTACCAAAATTTCCTTGCTCACTGTTAAGGTGGTGTTTAAAATTTTAATCAGAAGATAAATAATTCTTGCATTCTTTGGGAAAATTTTACCCACAAAATTTTAATGTACAGTATATCATATTCCTTATGTTGTGCAAGGAAATAGAATTTTTTTTTTTTTTAATCTGGAGATGTGGGCATTGAGCCCTTATGTCTTATATAACAATAAAAATTGCATAGCCTCATAAAATGAAAAAAGCTGTAAGGCTCCAAAGTTGGCAAGGGAGGTCTTGATCTAAGAAGTTGGGCCTATTCCTTCAATTTTTACTTCGAGCCTAAATACTTTATCTCCTAGGCACAATACAATCCCTCTGGGTTTAGTGCCCATATACAAGTGATGGTACTACTATGCTTTCATACAATCCCTCTTTTGCCTCCACAGATGCCTCACCCTTTGTTCACTTCATCTGAGACCCATCATCTGACATATCCGCTCCCAAATATCTGAATGCATTCACCTCCTCCATACTCAAATCTGAAATTTAATCCTTCACTGCCTAGACTTTTTTGCTACTCTCATCACCTTGTTCATTTCTGTTAACTTTTAATTTCCTTGTTTTACATACCTCCTATAATCCTCCACAAACTGTTGCAACCTCTCCCAGATTCAACCAAAAGAACTGTCATCAGCTGTATATTAGCAGAGGCACAGCTTTTGCCATTTATTTTTAATACTTGCCTAATAAAAAAAATAAACTGAGCAACTTTAAATTTTAAACAGATTCAAACCATTTATCAAAACATCTTTAACAATTAGTTAAATAAACGAATTAAGCCTAATTTCAAGCTACTTAAGCTCTGAAACCAACCAAAATTGTCTCCATTTCAGTAGTATATCTTCCACTATCAAATATGAAGACCAATAAAACACCTCAATCATGCAAATCATGCCAATCATGCAAATCATGCAAAACACAGGGCAGGATTTGTTTTATTTCATGCACACTCACCACACAGACCCACTCTCTTATATCCAGGCCAAAATTTAAAGCTCACAGCATATCTGAGGGAGCTGTGCTCAAACATAGATCTAAATGAGGGATCCTGGCCTCAATTATATAAATCGATGTGATGGCCAATCACAGGGTTAATGATTGAGAGGATGAGAATCTTATAGAATGTTTATATAAATATCAATTCTTTGTTTGGCACAAGGATTGTACAGAATGCATATGTGAAAGACCTAAAATAATTAAATTAAACAAGATGCAATGTTAAGTAAAAGGACACATGCAACTAATGTGACATTTTATTGTGGCCAATATTTCGCTCTCCATGAGCTTTATCAAGCCGTTACAAACAATACATCTAACTTATTATTAAGCTACCCAAGTATAATTGCTTTTATAACCTTTTACTCATGTGCAAGTTGATTGTTCTACCACACTGTATTACTACTACTACTACAACTAACATTACAACAACAACTAATATTATACTACTACCAGCACCACTAGTATTACACCTCACTAAACCTATATATACCCTGTGTGTCCATGTATGTTTGAAATGGCTTGATAAAGCTCCTGGAGAGCTAAACACTACCACAATAAAATGTCACAGTAGTTGAACTTGTGTCCTTTTACCTAACATATTGTTGGTTATTCTATCAACATTAATACAAGATTCAGATGTCCATGTATCTTCAGTACAACTAACAAGTATCTCTTGAAAACAAATAGCCACAATCTACTCTTTAAATATACGTACACTTAAAAAATATATACGTATATAGATAGATAGATATAGATAGTTTACTGAGTATACCAGGAAAAGTGTACGGTAGGGTTATAATTGAAAGAATTAGAGGCAAGACAGAATGTAGGATTGCGGATGAGCAAGGAGGTTTCAGAGTGGGTAGGGGATGTGTAGATCAAGTGTTTACATTGAAGCATATATGTGAACAGTATTTAGATAAAGGTAGGGAAGTTTTTATTGCATTTATGGATTTAGAAAAGGCATATGATAAGTGGATAGAGGAGCAATGTGGCAGATGTTGCAAGTATATGGATAGGTGGTAAGTTATTAAATGCTGTAAAGAGTTTTTATGAGGATAGTGAGGCTCAGGTTAGGGTGTGTAGAAGAGAGGGAGACTACTTCCGGTAAAAGTAGGTCTTAGACAGGGATGTGTAATGTCACCATGGTTGTTTAATATATTTATAGATGGGGTTGTAAAGGAAGTAAATGCTAGGGTGTTCGGAGAGGGGTGGGATTAAATTTTGGGGAATCAAATTCAAAATGGGAATTGACACAGTTACTTTTTGCTGATGATACTGTGCTTATGGGAGATTCTAAAGAAAAATTGCAAAGGTTAGTGGATGAGTTTGGGAATGTGTGTAAAGGTAGAAAGTTGAAAGTGAACATAGAAAAGAGTAAGGTGATGAGGTATCAAATGATTTAGATAAAGAAAAACGGATATCAAATTGGGAAGGAGGAGTATAGAAGAAGTGAATGTTTTCAGATACTTGGGAGTTGACGTGTCGGCGGATGGATTTATGAAGGATGAGGTTAATCATAGAATTGATGAGGGAAAAAAGGCGAGTGCTGCGTTGAGGTATATGTGGAGTAAAAAAACGTTATCTATGGAGGCAAAGAAGGGAATGTATGAAAGTATAGTAGTACCAACACTCTTATATGGGTGTGAAGCTTGGGTGGTAAATGCAACAGCGAGGAGACGGTTGGAGGCAGTGGAGATGTCCTGTTTAAGGGCAATGTGTGGTGTAATATTATGCAGAAAATTTGGAGTGTGGAAATTAGGAAAAGGTGTGGAGTTAATAAAGTATTAGTCAGAGGGCAGAAGAGGGGTTGTTGAGGTGGTTTGGTCATTTAGAGAGAATGGATCAAAGTAGAATGACATGGAAAGCATATAAATCTATAGGGGAAGGAAGGCGCGGTAGGATTCGTCCTCGAAAGGGTTGGAGAGAGGGGGTAAAGGAGGTTTTGTGGGCAAGGGGCTTGGACTTCCAGCAAGCGTGCGTGAGCGTGTTAGATAGGAGTGAATGGAGACGAATGGTACTTGGGACCTGACAATCTATTGGAGTGTGAGCAGGGTAATATTTAGTGAAGGATTCAGGGAAACCGGTTATTTTCATATAGTCAGACTTGAGTCCTGAAATGGGAAGTACAATGCCTGCACTTTAAAGGAGGGGTTTGGGATATTGGCAGTTTGGAGGTATATGTTTGTGTATCTTTATATGTGTATGCTTCTAAACTGTTGTATTCTGAGCACCTCTGCAAAAACAGTGATAATGTGTGAGTGTGGTGAGTGTTGAATGATGATGAAAGTATTTTCTTTTGGGTCACCCTGCCTCGGTGGGAGATGGCCGACTTGGAAAAAAAAAAATAGATAGATAAAAAGAAAATACTTACTGGAGCAATGAAGCTTGACAGGTGGCAGATTTAGTTCCTTTGCAATGTCAACATTTTTGATCTTCAGAGCTTCATCCAGCTGAAAAAATAAAATACATTGAATAAAAACATTCCAATCTGATTTATTAATGTTTATGATTAAATAAATTGAATACTGTAGGAAAAACCATAAATTTTACTTAAAATCTTCCTACAATCCTTGTATTTAACATTACATACAGATATCAATACAGCAATAAGAAGCAAAAATTATAAGCCTTTAAGAGACTCTTGGCTTGAAAGAACTAATATATTACTGATACAAGAACATGGATGTAGATGTTGCAAAAATCCTGTAAAAAATAAGTACAGTGACAATTACTGTGTATACAGTAGTAACAAATTATTTTAATAAATTAAGCCAACTGATGATATAATTAGGTGTATCCAGTAGATATCCGACAGCTAATGGAAAACAGGAGAAAGTAAAAACAGGCTTTCTGATAAAAACAGATAAAATACTACATTATAGGGATTTAGTGGTCACTGACAATTCTGCCATGGGAAGATGTAAAATAATATTGTGAAAATCTTGTAAGCTACACAAGCCAAGTTATGATAATCACACATGTACAAGATATGAAAAAATACCCAAGGAAGATTTCTCAATACTGTCAACTTAGAAAACATAATTATGGCATTTTATCCTAAGAAACTTGAAAACTAAGGTATAAAAGGTGCCAAAAAAGCACAAAGTAAGAATAATGGAAAATAAAAAACACTGCACAGTACTTCAAGTGCTACAGCCACTAGATCTTTTGAAAATTATGATAGCTTAATGCCAAAAACATAACACTGAGCAAAGCTCAGCTCCTACAGATGCCAATGGAACAGTAATTTAATTAATAGGGAAACTGTATTGGGAAAATATTGTGTACTTCACAAAAGAATTGATTCTTCAATGTATACCATTCAAGTATTCCTACTCTTTTTTTTATTATTATTGTATACATTTGTTTGTTTTTGCTTTCTTGTACAAACATGCAGACTATTTACAAAAAGAACCTAAGAAAAAAAAAAAGGTAAACTCACTGTTTTGCCTTTAACCCATTCTGTTGCTAGAGATGATGAAGCAATGGCTGAACCACAACCAAATGTTTTGAACTTGGCATCAATTATTTTGCATTGCTGTCCACCCGAACTTGAAGCTTCATAACATCTCCACAGGCTGGTGCTCCCACCAGACCTGTACCAACCATAGCGTCATTCTTGTCCAGAGAACCAACATTCCGAGGATTCTCATAATGATCTATCACCTGCCAAAAATAAAAACAATTTTCCTATTTTTTTTTAATACAGTTCAATTTACAAGCTAAGACCTGTTATCTTACTGAATATCTGGTCATTTCAAAGCCCATCAATATCTAAGAAACAGTGCACTGCCAACCCTCAAAATGTGACCCACAATTCTACTAACATCTAGAACCACTATTACTAGGGTAAACAGGGACAGCAGGTACAAGGAGACTTGCCAATACATCTTGCCTTGACAGCTGCAAATCATATAGTAATAATGTTTATTTCAGCAAGATACAATGTTTCTACCAAGGAGAATGACATTTGGATGTATATGCTGAAAGCCCCTATATATGTAGAGCATTTCAGGCAAACTTAAGATTAATAAGGTAGGTAGAAGGTTGGTAGACAGCAACCGCCCAAGGAGGTACTACCATCCTTCCAATTGAGTGTAAAATGGAAGCCTGTAATTGTTTTACATGATGGTAGGATTGCCGGTGTCTTTTTCTGTCTCATAAACACACAAGATTTCAGGCAAGTCTTGCTACTTCTACTTACACACAGGTCATACTACATTTGCATGTACAATCATATTTATACAAACTCACCCCTTTGTGTTTTCTATTTTCTTACTAGTTCTTGTCTGGTTTATTTCCTCTTATCTCCATGGGGTAGTGGAATAAAATTCTTCCTCCACAAGCCATGCATGTCATAAGAGGCAGCTAAAATGCTGGGAGCAAGAGGCTAGTAACCCCTTCTCCTGTATATATTACTAAATTTAAAAGGAGAGATTTTTTTTTTCCTTTTGGGCCACGCTGCCTCAGTGCGTTGAAAGAAGAAAGAACAATACAAGTAATTTTTTATATACAAACAGTCACTTAGGCGATTGAAAGTGCAAATTTTGGAGTTTACAATGAATACAAGAGAACTGAATATTCTATTAGTTCATGTTATATGGCTTATCAAGTTTAACTGAGAGGAATTACAGTTCTGATTATCGACCTAAAGGGGACACAATCAATTGCTTAATATTTGGAAGGATTACAGACGCTGAAAGTTTATACTGTTTTACATATGTTCGTGATACTGAGAATATGCATGTATAGTTTTTACACAATTAGCTGATGCTGGAATGTGTTAGGAAGATAAGGTGTTTTTTAACGTAGTTTTGAGTCAGTGGTTCTGGAGATTTCTGGCAGAGGGTTCCAGATTTTGGGCCCTTTTATTACACTGAAATTTTGGAGAGATTTAGTCAGACACTGGGAATGTCAGATTTTTGTGCCTAGCATTATGTCTGTGGATCCTGATGTAACTATCAAGAAAGTGTTTCAAGTGAGGATTTATATCAGAAATTATTGTTCTGTAAATGTAGGTTGCACAGCAGTAAGAAGGACTGTTTTGTATAGTGAGTAGGTTTAGTTCTTTGAAGATGGGGGGGAGGGAGGTTGTCTAGCAGTGGACTGTGTGATCATTCATATTACAGCTTTTTGCTGGGTTATTATTAGCTTTAGGAGAGTTGCTGCTGTGGATCCCCAGGCACATATAGCATAGGCGAGGTAGGGGTAAATCAATTAACAGAATAGTGCAAGTAGTGCTGTTTGTGGTACATAATGTAGCTTTGAGAGGATGCCAACTGTTTTGGATATAGGAGGGCCCCACTTTACAGCATTTTGCTAATGCAGCAGTTTTCAATTATGCCCCATCTTCATTTCTTCAACTACCTACAATAAATATATTTACAACTCACTATAAATTAATCTTGCAAAAATATTTTAGGGTAAGTAATGTTCTACTTTTTATTCATTTTAGGCCTAGCTCTATCTCACTTAAATTGTGTAACATGTTTAGACAGCATTATGATTTTATAATGCATTTAGAAAAAAAAAAAAAAGCTGTATACCAATTTTTCACTTAACACAGCAGCCTGAGAATCCAAACCTACTGTATAAGCATGCCCTTCCTGTATCACTGAAGTACAAATCACCTAAATGTAAAGTGCACTATTATTGACATTATGGTGTATATTACAATACTGTATTGTATACTTTATTAGACGAACATAAAATATCAACAGAATGCCATTAATAGATGTAGCATATTCATCTCTCAACTACGTTATACAAGCATACTAAGTGAATGAACATACTGGGAAGCTGAATCCCAAACATAATACAATTACTGGAGTAGACAACTTCAAACATTACAAAACTTCACAATATATATATTGCCCACAAAAGTTAAAACAAATAAAGTCAAAATAACCTTCGATTCACAAATTAACCCTGCTATATAACCCTCCCTCTCTTTTCGATAATGCGACTTTTTGCTTACGTCGTCGAAGCTCCTCTCTCCTATGTGCGGGTTATTTAGTTTCATTCCAGTCATGGTATTGTGCCTTTTTTTGTTATTTATAGACCTCTGATTCACAAGGGCTGTTGATCAGATCATTGACAAGAAATATTAATAATGAAAAGTATACATTACATCTTGGGTTTTCCCTCCAAGGAAATATATATATGCGCAATGCTAACAAATATAATTAGAAAGTCCAAACAAAACGATTATCGCCCCAAAATTAAAGTACCCAAATGATATGTTATTAAAACATTTGAGAAAAAAAAATCCCAAATTCTAGTATTAAAATACAGTAAATAAAACACAAACAAATATTATATCCATCTATTGTAAACTTTTCAAACAGATCAATTAAGAGAAAACCTCCCTGTTACAATTATAAGAGCAAGGGAATGCCATCCATAAGTGGTGATAATTCATCTGATGTCAGTAACAAAAATTCAATATACAGTGCAACAAATGCTACCAAAAATATTTGAGAAAGGTATCCATAATGAGAAGTACTTGTACTTGACCCACACAACATGCTTACCTTGTCATTCTGATTCAGACTCACAATTCACCAGATAAATACATATACTTAACATGTTATTCTATACTTGAAAGAATGAGTTTCCCACTGAACATTTTATTGATCTGCAAAGGCTTTTGATTCTGTTGACCACAGTAATCCATTCTGCTAACTCAATAAAAGACTAAAAGGGGGAGTACACCAAACCCCCGCCGGGATTGAACCCGCGTCATAGAGTCTCAAACTCCAGCCGTCCGCGTTAACCACTAGACCAGCTAGCCACAATAAGAATCATCCAACTAGGTATATTTCTACACATAGAAGTTAGCATCAGGCACCTCCTGTGACCACAAATGCAATTTTTTACAGACGAATCTCTTGCATTTGTGGTTCACAGAGGTGCCTGTGGCTCAACTTTCCTATGTCGAAGAAATATACCTTAGTTGATGATCTATTGTGGCTAGCTGTCTATTGGCAAACGGCTACGGCTGGATTTTTGAGACTCTAAGACCGCGGGTTCAATCCGGCACGTGGTAAATGGTTAACTTTTGCAATCGGTCATTACGACTTCTTAAGTCGGGAGTACACATGCATTTCAGTTATAAGAAAGAAGGAACACTGCACCAGGCCTACTGCCCTGTACCGGAACTCACAGCCATAACACCTACACTAGCACCCTATCCAATGAATAATATGGTGCCCCATGGACCTCTTACTCAATCAATATTAATGATCTACCAAATGCCCCCATTGAACAGTTATATCTGAACAAAATGAGGTCCAACACCTGAATGTTTACCAGTAAACTCTTCCATGATACGAACAAATTTATATAATTTTTTGGAAACAAATATTCTATATTGGATATAAAAATTTATGAAACCAAAGAAAAAAAACAGAAGAAATTCCAGGACAATTCATACTCCCACATTTATAAAGGGTCTCAGAAATCAATTGGTGGTGGGAAGTAGTGTTTGCACTTCAAATGACAGGTAAGGATGTTGCAGTGCAGAGGGTCATCTGAACTGTGATTCTGGCACTCTAAGGTAGGCCAACCACCGAATGAATGACAGTGACCATTTCCTTTTGTTCTTTTTTTTTTGGGGGGGAGAAGGAGGGGGGGGAATAGCAGGGTCACCAACAATTCAGTGGAAGATTCTGTATTACGTAATTAAAAATGGATTATTAACCTGAAAATCAGTAACCAAGGATAACCAATATTAAGTTACTGTCTTCAGAGTTTGGTAAACCAGCATAACACAACCTAACTAACAATCTAGATTAGGCTAGACAACAATGGATTACACTATGAAAGGGTTTTTGTTACCCTATTTTATTTTTATCCTATTTGCCTAAAATATACATGTCTCCATTCGACTCCAGGTTGGGGGACTGATTACCTCATTCTCCTCCTCTCCTTACACCTTCCTCTTTGTATTGGGGACTGATGAACCACTGTTTGGCAAAAACTTTTCCTGAAAAAGATTCCCATATGCTGCATAAGTGTTTTTTCAACTTCAACTCACAAAATTTTGGGAAAAAATTTACAAAAAAAATAAAGCGGGCTAAAATTTAAAATGCTGACCAAAAAATTTTTTGGGTATTTATAGGTCAGATAGGTATGGGTAAGAAAAAGTAAGTGGGAGGGGGTGTGAATGCCCTATTTAGAAAAGCCAGTGGTTTAAATTTTTGTAATTATAAACAAACCAAGGACTTCAATGGAAATGTAAATTGAAAGGGGGGGGGTTAAAATACCAAGTTACATACTCGGTGGGGTTTGGCTTTAAACCTGGGGGGGGGGGAGGGTAGCAATTTTGGTTTTTTAGTCTGTGAAAAATTTTCCCTAAAATTTTTTTTTTTTTTTATTTTTGGGTATGTTAGGAAAAGATCGGTTAGAAAAAGGCCCAAAAACCAAGCTTAACTCACCAAAAATAATCCTAATCAAACCAAACCTAAAAAGACTAATGTGGCCCCACTTTTTTCTTTTAAAGCTTTTTTTTTATTGTTGTTTACTAGTAATCACTCCATAAGAAAAAAATTTGTTCCGATTTTTAACCCAGGGGGGTTAAACCCCAAGGAAAACCCAAAAAAGTCCAGTGCATAAACAACTGGGGGTTTTTTTTAAATTTTTTCTTTGCCCCCCAGGATTCGACCCACATTTGTCTATTAACCCCCGGGTTTAACTTACTTACTGTTAGGTCAACGGGGACAGTAGGTGAAAAGGAAAACCCAGGGCCCAATATTTCCCCCAAATGTTGGGGAATTGGGAACCCAAAAGGGCAACGTGTGAAAGGTGTAGCGTTCCCAACTAAGCCAGGGGGTTGGGTGTTTAAAAAGGGTTTGTACGACACTCTTTCTTTTTTGCAAAAGATGTTAAGTGCCCAAAAACTTAATTTATTAAAAAACTTGACATTTGTCCCCTTTAATTTTTTTCAACCAAATAAGTTTTTTTAGGCCCCAGGTACACCCAAGTAACAGTTATCAGTGTAAAAATTTCCTAGGATAATCCAAAAAGTCAGCAAGTTCTGGGTTCCCCAATTTTTTCCCCAAAACTTTTTTTTCTCATAAAAGGGATTTGTGTGGCTTTAAAATATTTAAAATAACAATTTGCACAAGAAATAACTATATTTTTCCCCCGATTGGATTTCCTTGCATGTATGTTAAAAAAAGTAAAATTTGGGAGAAATCAGCAGAGAAAATAGGGCCTGAATTGACTTTACGGGTTTATTCCAAGATTCAACTTACTTTAAAATCAAAAAAAAATTTAAAAATATGTTCGAGGGTTTAAAAAAATACTTTTTTAAGGGGTTTTAATGAAATTTCTTGGGAATTTTCCTTTTTTTCTTATGATAAATAATGTCAAAACTCTGACATTTTATCTTTTCTAAAAATATAAAAATAGCCCTTATTATGGGGAAACGCTAAACCCGTCGGGGTTTTACACCGCCTTTTTGGGGGAGGGGTGGGAAAACACTGAGGGTTAATTCAAACGAATTTGGGGGACGGATCCAATTTCCCCAGATCAAGAGGCCCCCTTTAAAAGCAAACAAGGAACCCCCCCGAGGGGGAAAAAACCCCAAAATTAAAATGTACAAATACGGGAAATAAAAACCTTTTCGTGGGGTTAGCAGCAATGAAGTGTTGGTCCTGGTGGAGGGGTAGAGGGAGAGAAACGTGAAGTAGCACGGGGAAGAGCCATCATGGAGGGATGTCAGTCACAGTCAATTTAGCAGCCCCTGAGATATATCCCTCTACCGTCTTTTCTGGCAGGGAAACCCCCAAACCAAGCACCTAAACATTTTTAAATTTTTCCCGACATTATATTATTTTTTTTTTATTTTATTATTTTTTTTTATTTTATTTTTTTTTATTATTTTTATTATTATTAAATTTTATTAATTAGCATTTTATTAAATTTTATATTTTAAAATTTTTATTATTATTATTATATATTATTATTTTATAAACATGGGAGGGCCCAAACCCATAGGATTATTAAAAGGTATGTGGGGGTGGAAAATATTTAGGGTCAATTCAGGGAAAATGGAGCACAGATCCAATTCCCCGAATTGAGCTGAATATCTCCAACCCCCACATACGCTGTATAATCCTATGGGTTTGGCCTCCCTCATGTTTATAATAATAATAATATATAATAATAATAATAATAATAAAATATAATAATAATATAATGCTAATATAATATAATAATAATAATAATAATAATAATAATAATAATAATAATAATAATAATAATAATAATAAAATAATAATAATATAATGTCAGTAACAATAATAATGTATGAGGGTGACTTGGATGTGGGTTCCTGCCAGAACATGACGGTAGATGATATATCTCAGTGGCTGCTGAACTTGACTGACTGACTGACATACCTCCATGATGGCTCTCCTCCGTGCTACTTCACGCTCTCTACCTCTACTCTCCACCAGGACCAACACTCTCATTGCTGCTAACTACCACGAGAAGGTTATTATTTGCCAGTATTTGTACATATTTAATGTTGGGTTATCCCCTCGAGGGAGGTTCCTTGATGCTGTTAAGGGGCTCTTGATCTAGGGAATTGGATCCGTCCTCCAATTCGCTGAATTAACCCTCAGTGTCTTCCATCCCTCCCCCAAAGGCGGTGTATAATCCCGACGGGTTTAGCGCTTCCCATAATAATGGCTAGTTATTTATATTTTTAGAAAAGATATAATGTCAGAGTTATGACAGTATTTATCATAAGAAGAAATAACGGAATTGCAAGAAATTTCATTAAAAGCCCTTAAAAAAGTATTTATTTAAGCCTCGTACATATTTTTAAATATTTTTCCTGATATTTAGTAAGTTGAATCTTGGAATGAACCAGTAAAGTCAATCTCAGGTCTATTTTCTCTGCTGATTTCTGCCAATTACATTTTTTAACATACATGCAAGGTATCCAGATCTGGGGAAATATAGTTATTTCTTGTGCAAATTGTTATTTTAAATATATTAGCCACACAAATACCTTTATGAGAGAAAGATTGTATATGGTAAAATGTGAACCAGTCTACTTGCTGACTTTTTGGGATTATCCTAGGTAATTTACACTGATAACTGTACTTGGGTGTACCTGTGCCTAAATAAACTTACTTGGTTGAAACAACTTAAGAGGACTAATGTCAAGTGTTTTAATAAATTAAGTTTTATGACACTTAACATCTTTAGCAAATAAGATGAGTGTCGAATACAACCATTTGAACACCAACCCGTGGCTTAGTTGGCAACGCTCTCACCTTACACACTGAGTGCCTGTGGTTCAATCCCTAACACGGGTGGAAATATTGGGCATGTTTCCTTACACCTACTGTCCCTGTTGACCTAACAGTAAGTAAGTACCTGGGTGTTAATAGACTAGTGTGGGTCGAATCCTGGGGGACACGATTAAAGGACCCCCAGTTGATGATGCACTGACTTTTTTGGGTTATCCTTGGGTTAACCCTCTGGGTTAAAAATCTGAACAAATCTTATCTTATGGAGTGATTACTAGTAGCAACAATAAAAAAATGCTTCACAGAAAATGTGGGTGCCACATTAGTCTTTTTAGGTTTGGTTTGATTAGGATTAGTTAGGTTGAGTTAAGCTTGGTTTGGACCTCATCTAACCGATCTTAACCTAACATACCCAAACATAAAAAAAAAAAAAATTTGAGAAATTTGCACAGACTAAAACACTCAACATTGCTACCCTCCCCCCTCCCCAGGTTAATGCCAAACCCCACCGAGTATGTAAACTTGGTATTGACCCCCTTACAATGACATTTCCATTGAAGTCCTTGTGTTTTATAGTTACAAAATTAATCCACTGGCTTATGCTAAATAGGTGCAGTTCACACCCACTCCCACTTACTTACTTACCCATACCTATCTGACCTATAACTACCCAAAATTATTTGGTCAGCATTTAATTTAGCTGCTCAGTTTTTATGTAAATTCTCCAATATTATGTGAGTTGAAGATTGAGACACTTATGCAGCATATGGGAATCTTTATTCAGGAAACGTTTCGCCACACAGTGGCTTCATCAGTCCAATACAAAGAGGAAGGTGTAAGGAGAGGAGGAGAATGAGGTAATCAGTCCCTCAACCTGGAGTCGAATGGAGACATGTATATTTTAGGCAAATAGGATAAAAATAAAATAGGGTAACAAAACCTTACATAGTGTAATCCATTGTTGTCTAGCCTAATCTAGATTGTTTAGTTAGGTTGTGTTATGCTGGTTTACCAAACTCTGAAGACAGTAACTTAATATGGTTATCCTTGGTTACTGATCTTTCAGGTTAATAATCCATTTTTAATACGTAATACAGAATCTTCCACTGAATTGTGGTGACCCTGCTATTCCCCCCTCCTCTCCCCCCCCAAAAAAAAAGAACAAAAGGAAATGGTCACTGTCATTCATTCGGTGGTTGGCCTACCATTAGAGTGCCAGAATCACAGTTCAGATGACCCTCTGCACTGCAACATCCTTACCTGTCATTTGAAGTGCAAGCACTACTTCCCACCACCAATTGATTTCTGAGACCCTTTATAAATGTGGGAGTATGGAATTGTCCTGGAATTTCTTCTGTTTTTTTTTCTTTGGTTTCATAAATTTTAATATCTAATTTAGAATATTGTTTCCAAAAATTATATAAATATTTGTTCAGTATCATGGAAAAGTTTATTGGTAAACATTCAGGTGTTGACCTCATTTAGTTCATTATAACTGTCAAGGGGGGCATTAGGTAGATCATTAATATTGATGAGTAAGAGGGTCCATGGGGCACACCTATATTCATTGGTAGGGTGCTAGAGTAGGTGTTATGGCTGTGAGTTCCGTTACCAAGGGTCAGTAGGCCTGGTGCAGTGTTCCTTCTTTCTTATAACTGAAAATGCATGTGTACTCCCCGACTTAAGAAATCGTAATGACACGATTGCAAATAAACCATACCCCCGGCCGGGATTGAACCCGCGGTCATAGAGTCTCAAAACTCCAGCCCGTCGCGTTAGCCACTAGACCAGCTAGCCACAATAAGATTCATCCAACTAGGTATATTTCTACACCATAGGAAAGTTAGCACAGGCACCTCTGTGACCACAAATGCAAGTTTTTACAGACGAATCTCTTGCATTTGTGGTCACAGAGGTGCCTGTGCTAACTTTCCTATGGTGTAGAAATATACCTAGTTGGATGAATCTTATTGTGGCTAGCTGGTCTAGTGGCTAACGCGACGGGCTGGAGTTTTGAGACTCTATGACCGCGGGTTCAATCCCGGCCGGGGGTATGGTGTACTCCCCCTTTTAGTCATTATTGAGTTAGCATGAATGGATTACTGTGGTCAACAGCATCAAAAGCCCTTTGCAGATCAATAAAATGTTCAGTGGGAAACTCATTTCTTTCAAGTATAGAATAACCTGTTAAGTATATGTATTTATCTTGTGAATTTGAGTCTGAATCAGAATTGACAAGGTAAGCATGTTGTGCTGGGTCAAGTACAAGTACTGCTCCTTATGGATACCTTTCTCAAATATTTTTGGTAGCATTGCTGCACTGAATATTGATATTTTTGTTACTGACATCAGATGAATTATCACCACTTATGGATGGGCATTACCCTTGCTCTTATAATAGTAACAGGGGAGGTTTTCTCTTAATTGATCTGTTGAAAAGTATTACAATAGATGGATATAATATTTGTTTGTGTTTTATTTACTGTATTTTAATACTAGAATTTGGGATTTTTTTTTCTCCAAATGTTTTTATACCATATCACTTTGGAATCTTTAATTTTGGGTGATAATAGTTTTGTTTGGACTTTCTAATTATATTTGTTAGCATTGCAGCATATCATATATTTCCTTGGAGACAAGATGTAATGTATACTTTTCATTATAAAATTTCTTGTCAAATGATCTGATCAAGCCCCTTGTGAATCAAAGGTTATAAATAACAAAAAAAAGGCACAATACCATGACTGGAATGAAACATAAATAACCCGCACATAGGAGAGAGGAGCTTACGACGACGTAAGCAAAGTCGCATTAACGAAAAGAGAGGGAGGGGTATATATAGCCAGGGTTATTTGTGAATCGAAGGTTATTTTGCCTTTATTTGTTTAAACTTTTGTGGGCAATATATATATTGTGAAGTTTAGTAATGTTGAAGTTTTCTACTCCAGTAATTGTATTATGATTGGGATTCAGCTTCCCAGATGTTCATTCACTTAGTATGCTTGTTAACGTAGTTGAGAGAATGAAATACTGTACATCTATTAATGGCATCTGTTGGAATTTTATGATCGTCTAATAAATATACAATACAGTATTGTAATATACACCATAATGTAATATAGTGCACTATACACTTTAGGTGATTTGTACTTCAGTGATACAGGAGGGCACTGCTTATACAGTAGGTTAGGTTCTAGGCTGCCTGTGTAAAGTGAAAATTGCTTTACAGCTTTTTTTTTTTTTTTCTAAATGCATATAAAATCCTAATGCTGTAACATGTTTACACAATATTAAGTGAGAAATAGAGCTAGGCCTAAAAATGAATATAAAGTAGACACATTACTTACCCTAAAATATTTTTGCAATTAATTTATAGTGAGTTGTAAATATATTTATTGTAGGTAGTCTGAATAAATGAAAAATGGGCATAATTGAAAACTGCTGCATTAGCAAAATGCTGTAAAGTGGGGCCCTCCTATATCCAAAACAGTTGGCATCCTCTCAAAGCTACATTATGTACCACAAACAGCACTACTTGCACTATTCTGTTAATTGATCTACCCCTACCTCGCCTATGCTATATGTGCCTGGGGATCCACAGCAGCAACTCTCCTAAAGCTAATAATAACCCAGCAAAAAGCTGTAATATGAATGATCACACAGTCCACTGCTAGACAACCTCCCTCCCCCCCATCTTCAAAGAACTAAACCTACTCACTATACAAAACAGTCCTTCTTACTGCTGTGCAACCTACATTTACAGAACAATAATTTCTGATATAAATCCTCACTTGAAACACTTTCTTGATAGTTACATCAGGATCCACAGACATAATGCTAGGCACAAAAATCTGACATTCCCAGTGTCTGACTAAATCTCTCCAAAATTTCAGTGTACATAAAAGGGCCCAAAATCTGGAACCCTCTGCCAGAAATCTCCAGAACCACTGACTCAAAACTACGTTAAAAAACACCTTATCTTCCTAACACATTCCAGCATCAGCTAATTGTGTAAAAACTATACATGCATATTCTCAGTATCACGAACATATGTAAAACAGTATAAACTTTCAGCGTCTGTAATCCTTCCAAATATTAAGCAATTGATTGTGTCCCCTTTAGGTCGATAATCAGAACTGTAATTCCTCTCAGTTAAACTTGATAAAGCCATATAACATGAACTAATAGAATATTCAGTTCTCTTGTATTCATTGTAAACTCCAAAATTTGCACTTTCAATCGCCTAAGTGACTGTTTGTATATAAAAAATTACTTGTATTGTTCTTTCTTCTTTCAACGCACTGAGGCAGCGTGGCCCAAAAGGAAAAAAAAAAATCTCTCCTTTTAAATTTAGTAATATATACAGGAGAAGGGGTTACTAGCCTCTTGCTCCCAGCATTTTAGCTGCCTCTTATGACATGCATGGCTTGTGGAGGAAGAATTTTATTCCACTACCCCATGGAGATAAGAGGAAATAAACCAGAACAAGAACTAGTAAGAAAATAGAAAACACAAAGGGGTGAGTTTGTATAAATATGATTGTACATGCAAATGTAGTATGACCTGTGTGTAAGTAGAAGTAGCAAGACTTGCCTGAAATCTTGTGTGTTTATGAGACAGAAAAAAGACACCGGCAATCCTACCATCATGTAAAACAATTACAGGCTTCCATTTTACACTCAATTGGAAGGATGGTAGTACCTCCTTGGGCGGTTGCTGTCTACCAACCTTCTACCTACCTTATTAATCTTAAGTTTGCCTGAAATGCTCTACATATATAGGGGCTTTCAGCATATACATCCAAATGTCATTCTCCTTGGTAGAAACATTGTATCTTGCTGAAATAAACATTATTACTATATGATTTGCAGCTGGTCAAGGCAAGATGTATTGGCAAGTCTCCTTGTACCTGCTGTCCCTGTTTACCCTAGTAATAGTGGTTCCTAGATGTTAGTAGAATTGTGGGTCACATTTTGAGGGTTGGCAGTGCACTGTTTCTTAGATATTGATGGGCTTTGAAATGACCAGATATTCAGTAAGATAACAGGTCTTAGCTTGTAAATTGAACTGTATTAAAAAAAATAGGAAAATTGTTTTTATTTTTGGCAGGTGATAGATCATTATGAGAATCCTCGGAATGTTGGTTCTCTGGACAAGAATGACGCTATGGTTGGTACAGGTCTGGTGGGAGCACCAGCCTGTGGAGATGTTATGAAGCTTCAAGTTCGGGTGGACAGCAATGGCAAAATAATTGATGCCAAGTTCAAAACATTTGGTTGTGGTTCAGCCATTGCTTCATCATCTCTAGCAACAGAATGGGTTAAAGGCAAAACAGTGAGTTTACCTTTTTTTTTTTCTTAGGTTCTTTTTGTAAATAGTCTGCATGTTTGTACAAGAAAGCAAAAACAAACAAATGTATACAATAATAATAAAAAAAAGAGTAGGAATACTTGAATGGTATACATTGAAGAATCAATTCTTTTGTGAAGTACACAATATTTTCCCAATACAGTTTCCCTATTAATTAATTACTGTTCCATTGGCATCTGTAGGAGCTGAGCTTTGCTCAGTGTTATGTTTTTGGCATTTAAGCTATCATAATTTTCAAAAGATCTAGTGGCTGTAGCACTTGAAGTACTGTGCAGTGTTTTTTATTTTCCATTATTCTTACTTTGTGCTTTTTTGGCACCTTTTATACCTTAGTTTTCAAGTTTCTTAGGATAAAATGCCATAATTATGTTTTCTAAGTTGACAGTATTGAGAAATCTTCCTTGGGTATTTTTTCATATCTTGTACATGTGTGATTATCATAACTTGGCTTGTGTAGCTTACAAGATTTTCACAATATTATTTTACAATCTTCCCATGGCAGAATTTGTCAGTGACCACTAAATCCCTATAATGTAGTATTTTATCTGTTTTTATCAGAAAGCCTGTTTTTACTTTCTCCTGTTTCCATTAGCTGTCGGATATCTACTGGATACACCTAATTATATCATCAGTTGGCTTAATTTATTAAAATAATTTTGTTACTACTGTATACACAGTAATTGTCACTGTACTTATTTTTTACAGGATTTTTGCAACATCTACATCCATGTTCTTGTATCAGTAATATATTAGTTCTTTCAAGCCAAGAGTCTCTTAAAGGCTTATAATTTTTGCTTCTTATTGCTGTATTGATATCTGTATGTAATGTTAAATACAAGGATTGTAGGAAGATTTTAAGTAAATTTATGGTTTTCCTACAGTATTCAATTTATTTAATCATAAACATTAATAAAATCAGATTGGAATGTTTTTATTCAATGTATTTTATTTTTTCAGCTGGATGAAGCTCTGAAGATCAAAAATGTTGACATTGCAAAGGAACTAAATCTGCCACCTGTCAAGCTTCATTGCTCCAGTAAGTATTTTCTTTTTATCTATCTATTTTTTTTTTTTTCCAAGTCGGCCATCTCCCACCGAGGCAGGGTGACCCAAAAAGAAAATACTTTCATCATCATTCAACACTCACCACACTCACACATTATCACTGTTTTTGCAGAGGTGCTCAGAATACAACAGTTTAGAAGCATACACATATAAAGATACACAACATATACCTCCAAACTGCCAATATCCCAAACCCCTCCTTTAAAGTGCAGGCATTGTACTTCCCATTTCCAGGACTCAAGTCTGACTATATGAAAATAACCGGTTTCCCTGAATCCCTTCACTAAATATTACCCTGCTCACACTCCAATAGATTGTCAGGTCCCAAGTACCATTCGTCTCCATTCACTCCTATCTAACACGCTCACGCACGCTTGCTGGAAGTCCAAGCCCCTTGCCCACAAAACCTCCTTTACCCCCTCTCTCCAACCCTTTCGAGGACGAATCCTACCGCGCCTTCCTTCCCCTATAGATTTATATGCTTTCCATGTCATTCTACTTTGATCCATTCTCTCTAAATGACCAAACCACCTCAACAACCCCTCTTCTGCCCTCTGACTAATACTTTTATTAACTCCACACCTTTTCCTAATTTCCACACTCCAAATTTTCTGCATAATATTTACACCACACATTGCCCTTAAACAGGACATCTCCACTGCCTCCAACCGTCTCCTCGCTGTTGCATTTACCACCCAAGCTTCACACCCATATAAGAGTGTTGGTACTACTATACTTTCATACATTCCCTTCTTTGCCTCCATAGATAACGTTTTTTTACTCCACATATACCTCAACGCAGCACTCGCCTTTTTTCCCTCATCAATTCTATGATTAACCTCATCCTTCATAAATCCATCCGCCGACACGTCAACTCCCAAGTATCTGAAAACATTCACTTCTTCTATACTCCTCCTTCCCAATTTGATATCCAGTTTTTCTTTATCTAAATCATTTGATACCCTCATCACCTTACTCTTTTCTATGTTCACTTTCAACTTTCTACCTTTACACACATTCCCAAACTCATCCACTAACCTTTGCAATTTTTCTTTAGAATCTCCCATAAGCACAGTATCATCAGCAAAAAGTAACTGTGTCAATTCCCATTTTGAATTTGATTCCCCAAAATTTAATCCCACCCCTCTCCCGAACACCCTAGCATTTACTTCCTTTACAACCCCATCTATAAATATATTAAACAACCATGGTGACATTACACATCCCTGTCTAAGACCTACTTTTACCGGGAAGTAGTCTCCCTCTCTTCTACACACCCTAACCTGAGCCTCACTATCCTCATAAAAACTCTTTACAGCATTTAATAACTTACCACCTATTCCATATACTTGCAACATCTGCCACATTGCTCCTCTATCCACTCTATCATATGCCTTTTCTAAATCCATAAATGCAATAAAAACTTCCCTACCTTTATCTAAATACTGTTCACATATATGCTTCAATGTAAACACTTGATCTACACATCCCCTACCCACTCTGAAACCTCCTTGCTCATCCGCAATCCTACATTCTGTCTTGCCTCTAATTCTTTCAATTATAACCCTACCGTACACTTTTCCTGGTATACTCAGTAAACTATCTATATCTATCTATCTATATACGTATATATTTTTTAAGTGTACGTATATTTAAAGAGTAGATTGTGGCTATTTGTTTTCAAGAGATACTTGTTAGTTGTACTGAAGATACATGGACATCTGAATCTTGTATTAATGTTGATAGAATAACCAACAATATGTTAGGTAAAAGGACACAAGTTCAACTACTGTGACATTTTATTGTGGTAGTGTTTAGCTCTCCAGGAGCTTTATCAAGCCATTTCAAACAATACATGGACACACAGGGTATATATAGGTTTAGTGAGGTGTAATACTAGTGGTGCTGGTAGTAGTAATATTAGTTGTTGTTGTAATGTTAGTTGTAGTAGTAGTAGTAATACAGTGTGGTAGAACAATCAACTTGCACATGAGTAAAAGGTTATAAAAGCAATTATACTTGGGTAGCTTAATAATAAGTTAGATGTATTGTTTGTAACGGCTTGATAAAGCTCATGGAGAGCGAAATATTGCCACAATAAAATGTCACATTAGTTGCATGTGTCCTTTTACTTAACATTCTGCATCTTGTTTAATTTAATTATTTTAGGTCTTTCACATATGCATTCTGTACAATCCTTGTGCCAAACAAAGAATTGATATTTATATAAACATTCTATAAGATTCTCATCCTCTCAATCATTAACCCTGTGATTGGCCATCACATCGATTTATATAATTGAGGCCAGGATCCCTCATTTAGATCTATGTTTTGAGCACAGCTCCCTCAGATATGCTGTGAGCTTTAAATTTTGGCCTGGATATAAGAGAGTGGGTCTGTGTGGTGAGTGTGCATGAAATAAAACAAATCCTGCCCTGTGTTTTGCATGATTTGCATGATTGGCATGATTTGCATGATTGAGGTGTTTTATTGGCTCTTCATATTTGATAGTGGAAGATATACTACTGAAATGGAGACAATTTTGGTTGGTTTCAGAGCTTAAAGTAGCTTGAAATTAGGCTTAATTCGTTTATTTAACTAATTGTTAAAGATGTTTTGATAAATGGTTTGAATCTGTTTAAAATTTAAAGTTGCTCAGTTTATTTTTTTTATTAGGCAAAGTATTAAAAATAAATGGCAAAAGCTGTGCCTCTGCTAATATACAGCTGATGACAGTTCTTTTGGTTGAATCTGGGAGAGGTTGCAACAGTTTGTGGAGGATTATAGGAAGGTATGTAAAACAAGGAAATTAAAAGTTAACAGAAATGAACAAGGTGATGAGAGTAGCAAAAAAGTCTAGGCAGTGAAGGATTAAATTTCAGATTTGAGTATGGAGGAGGTGAATGCATTCAGATATTTGGGAGCGGATATGTCAGATGATGGGTCTCAGATGAAGTGAACAAAGGGGTGAGGCATCTGTGGAGGCAAAAGAGGGATTGTATGAAAGCATAGTAGTACCATCACTTGTATATGGGCACTAAACCCAGAGGGATTGTATTGTGCCTAGGAGATAAAGTATTTAGGCTCGAAGTAAGAAATTGAAGAATAGGCCCAACTTCTTAGATCAAGACCTCCCTTGCCAACTTTGGAGCCTTACAGCTTTTTTCATTTTATGAGGCTATGCAATTTTATTGTTATATAAGACATAAGGGCTCAATGCCCACATCTCCAGATTAAAAAAAAAAAAAAATTCTATTTCCTTGCACAACATAAGGAATATGATATACTGTACATTAAAATTTTGTGGGTAAAATTTTCCCAAAGAATGCAAGAATTATTTATCTTCTGATTAAAATTTTAAACACCACCTTAACAGTGAGCAAGGAAATTTTTGGTAAAATGTATTTGTATAGTTTCCTTTGTTTCTTTCAGTGTCTTTGGGCTTTAAACTTGTTATCACTGTATATTAAGAGTTCGTTTTCATTCCCTGCAACCACAACTGCATTTTATTCCTTCTCTTATACTTTTTTTCTCAACATGTTGGCCGTCTCTCACCAAGACAGGGTGACTCCAAAAAAGAAACGCTTTCACCATCATTCACACACAATTACTGTCTTTGCAAAGGCACCCAGATAATACACTTCAGATGTCACTCCAAACAGCCAGTATCCCAAACCCCTCCTTTAAAGTGCAAGCGTTGTACTTCTCACCTCCAGGGCTCAAGTCCAGCTAACCAGTTTTCCTGACTCCCTTCACAAAATATTACCCTGCTCACACTTCACTCTTATACTTCTAACAAAAATATTTTAAACCATACCCCCGGCCGGGATTGAACCCGCGGTCATAGAGTCTCAAAACTCCAGCCCGTCGCGCTAACCACTAGACCAGCTAGCCACAATAAGATTCATCCAACTAGGTATATTTCTACACCATAGGGTTCAATCCCGGCCGGGGGTATGGTTTATTTGCAATCGTGTCATTACGATTTCTTAAGTCAAAAATATTTTATACTGTACTGTACAAAAAATCGTGTCAGCCATAAAAATGGCTAGTTGACATGCATTGTTTAAACACTAATTGCCAAAATGTCCTTTCCTCAGTACTTCCTCTCTTTACCTTTCTCTTTCACCACCTATGTAGCGTTGTGGACAGCCATATACTGTACTGAGAAGGGAAAGTAAAATTGCATCTATTTTGAGATAGGTCTCATTTCAGCACTAGGAAAATAAAAATAAAGATTGTTTGCCCAAGGCTACTAGTAGACTTGGAGGGGAAAATTTAAAAATAATAGTTGGACAGCCTATTTTAGGTAAAGAAAAATTGAAGTTTACAGAATGGAAAAATATTTCAGCATATGAAGTACAGAAAAATGTCAGCTCGTACTTATAATTGCATTTTTATATTCTATAGTGTGCCATCAGGGAAAACAAAGCATTCAGAGATATGTGTAGTATATCAGGTTTAGATTTTTTTTTAATCTCCAATGGCCATCTCCCACGAAGGCAAGGGGATCCAGTGAAAGACTCGTTCATCATCATTCATTGAATTGGTGTTGTCAGAAAATGTTTCTGGTATCAAAAATCAGGGGTTTTGGAATCTGCACATAAAACTTTCGACGCTGACTCCTTTTTTCATGGCACCTCCAGACTCCTTTAATTATACATTGATAATAGGGAATAAATTAAAATACAGCCTCTTTCCCCACTTAGCAATATACACATACTTGTTTTACTGACGACTCTGACTTATGATGGGGGTCTGACCTGTGTGCATTCTTTGATAATGTATATTAGAGCTGATTTTCTCTATTCAGTTTATTACAGTATACAGTACACTACTGTAAAGAACATTTAAAAACTACTAAAAATGTTATAAATGGTGCAAAGACGAAAATTCAAACAATATCATTATAGTATGCTCCTTGCTTAGCGATGAATTCCTTTACTGACGTGGTCTTAGGAACGAAACCTCCGTTGTTAAGTGGGGAGAGGCTGTACGTATTAATTATGTATTTCCTATATGGATTGCAAGCATGCCAAAAACAAGCTCGGTAACCTGTTAAAGCCCGAGTCTAAATGCTGTAGCTATGCCATTCTGGCTTTTTTTTTTTATTTTATTAAAGAAATTACAAACATTCAGTAACCTTATAGTTGAACAAAGGACAAAACTTGAAAACTGGGAACAGTGAGGTTATATTTTTATAAAAAGACTATAAAGTAATAGGATGTAAAAGAAAAACTATAACTACTAGTTCAAAAAATCTGAAGTACATCCTTTGATATTACTAAAAAGAACTCAAAGTTAAAACTACAAAAAAGTAAAAAGCAATTGAACACCTAAAAAAACTAATAAATAACCATTTTTTAAAAAAAATGAACTCAGGTGCATAACCCTTCCTTTTGAGATTAAAGTATTGTTTAATTTATATTCTGTGCCATTTAAATTTATTAGGAGTTGGTACATTTTTACCAACTCGACAACCCAAGAATTGCTTGTGACTCACTCCACAGCAGTGATCACAATACAGGATACCCTCCAACTGCAACATCTCCACCCCTCCTTCAGAGTTAAGGCAGTGCCCTATCAATCTCCAAGACTCGGTGCAGCTAATTGGTTTCCCTTGACTCCTCCATTTACTCCTGTCCAACGCATTCACACAAGCTTGCCGAATGCCCAAGCCCCTAAAAATTAAAGCCTCTTCTACTTGCTTCCTCCAGCAGTTGCTGAGATGACCCTTACCCCTCCTACCTTTCAATCTAGTTTTTTTTTTTTCCATCCTTTCTATATCCATCCTCTGTACATATCTAAACCACCACCATCTTTTAATTTCTTTGCTTGAGTTCTCTGCGTGATATTCAGACAACACATTTCTCAAACAAAACATTTCCACTGTCTGTGGTCTCCTCATTGCAGTGTTTAAACCCTGTGCTTCACACCCATTCAGGCATAGGTATAGCTGTACTCTGGTATATTCCCTTATTTTGCCTCCATAGATAAACTTTCAATAGATGCCTCAACCCCACCCACCTTCACCCCTCCCTTTTATCTGTACTGTGGCTCACCTCATCTTTCATAGACCCATCTGCTGACACATCCATGCTCAGATATCTAAGTACATCCACTTCCAATCTGATATTCTATCATTGTCTGTTCTTTTTTATTATGCTCTTCACTTTGCTCTTCTCGATATTCACTTTCAATGTCCTTTGTTTTATATACCTTCCTGAAATTTGTCCAATAACCTTAGCAACTTGTCTTCAGAATCCCCCAAAAGAACTGTCATCAGCAAAGAGCAGCTCTAATGTACCACTTTTTATCATGTAAAAGGTTTTTTAATCCCACACCTCTAACATAATAGTATTCACTTCATTGTAATTATGTAATAATTTTCTCTTTGCAGTGTTAGCAGAGGATGCCATCAAAGCTGCTTTGAGTGATTACCGTATTAAACAGTCTTCTAAGGAAATGAAGGAAAAAAATTAAGACATTAATCAGGTTTATATCTAAATTTTTTTTAGAGGTTAGAGCTAATTTTTTTTAGACCTTTACTGTAATTATTTTTTTCTCATTATTGGCAAGTGTCTTACCCTTTACCCCCCCCCCCCCCATCTTCATTCTAAAAATATTTTCTTACGTTAAATATTTTATATAAAGAAATTGTGTTAAATATAAAGATATTATTTTGAAATTTTTCAGTTTTGCTTAAATATATTTGATGTATACTGTACAGTGAAGTCCTGTATGTCTGAAAGTTTATGGACTTAAATTCTCAAATTTTTCTAGTATTTTTTGCTTGACTAAATTAGCTACCCAGTAATCAAATATTGATTAATTCTTTGTGTATTACAAAATCAAATTGAAATTTTGTTAGTATGATCTATGAAATGGAAAACTTTAAATCTGTATGCTTCGAGATTCACCTTGGACCAATTTGTTGCAAGGTATGGAATATGCTGCACCAATTCAGAAGAAAATTCTCCAGTCAACAAAGCATTTCTTGTATTGTGTGACCCATAAAAGTGTGTAGAGTATAGGTTTAATATGATAACCCAGTTATAATCTGTGTGTGGATCTGATCTAGTCCATTCTGGGTTTAGCATTGATTTTATGTATCTGATTTTTCTCTGGATTTTTACCAGAAAATGCCAGGACACACTATTTAAGGGCATATTCTAGTTAAACAAGGTTTTGGTGTAGTAGTTTACACATTTACAAGATACTGTATGATGTATACTGAAAGCTGTAATTACTATTTTTAGCTCGTTGACCATAAGGCTGTCCTCCAAATTCATTTACAGTGAAAAAAACAGAAAGAGCTTACCAACAATAATTAATAGACTGGGCACCTTTGCTGAGTTTTTTGCACCAAGTAATATTTTTAACTTTCTGCATCCTTATTTTCTTGAAAATAGTCTACCTAGATATTCACTACATTATAAGGAGACTAGCAGCATATATCCCATTTTTTTTATGTATCCTAAGGAAAATGCAGCTTGTGGATTTTTTTTTTCTTATTTTGGTTTGGTATGAGTAACCTAACATATAAGTTAGAGGATAAGAAGGTATTGAACCTAGATCTTTATAAACTGTTACAAAATTTTGCTTGCTATATAGTCTTCATTTTATTTATATTTTAGATCTGATATACATTCATGTAGTACCAGACGAGTCAGAAAACACTGTCAAGCATAATTTTAATATTGTTTCAGGCTTTGTTTTAATGAATACTGTAATTCTTTAAACACAGTGCTCTACTGAGAATTATTGATAAATTTAGAAAAGTACTGTCTGTTGCTTTTAGGTATCTTCCACAAAGGTATCAACATATGAAAATTTTCATAAAATTACATTGTAATTTTTTAATTTAACAAATTTAACATTATATACCTTTTTTGAAGTAAAAAAAAAAAAAAAAAAGCCAAATTATTTACACTTCATTTATGAAGTGGTTTATCTACCTAATTATGATTAAGTGTCTAGAATTTCAAGAGTTGTAGTGTTATGTACAGTTTCAAGCATTGTACATAAGTTGTATATTGATAATGTATGCACATGTAGAATAAAATAAAAGTAAACAAAGTCTTACCCTCCCTTATTTACATTATTATTATTACAATCAAAACCAAGTGCTAAACCCACAAGGATCATGGTCAAGTTTGTGTGAAAGTCAGATGTACCGAAAGGGTTGGTTGGAACCTCATTACCGGAGTTGGGCAACAAGGTACTATCTGAAGGTATAATCAGGTTCTTGGAAAGATCTGTTGACACCCTGGAGTCATGAGAGGAGCTCATGGATGTCTTTAAGGTGGAGGGGAATGTGGGTGTTATAGCTCTGAAAAGCAGATCGTATATCCCCCTCAGTATCCAAGAGGTCCCTCGGCAAGGCTGGTAGTGCAGATGCTGCAGGGAACCTGTGCATTACCCTACCCTTCATGCCAGTAAACCTGCAATCCAGGATAGCAACCTTGCATCCACCAAGCCATCTTGGCAGACAAAAGAGGGCAGGCAGAAATCCAACACAAGACCACCACCTGAACTCTGATCCACCCTCTGGAATTCCAGGGGTTGGATCAGCACACCCCTAGATAATCCAGATTCCACTTCAAACACCACCACTAAGGGCCTCGACAGAATGGGATGGACAGTTTTACCCCTTGACCCAAGTTGTCATCACTCTAATGCACTTACTTTGTCTTCCCTCCTTGCTGACGGACCCACCTTTGACTTGCTCTCTCCTTGACTTTTTGACAGCAACTGATTTACTACACAAACTTTGATACTGCCTCTTGCACTTCTTACAGCCCTTTCTACCTTGCTACTCTATACCCCTGCTGTGCTGTGCTGTATGACCCTTGCAGGTTTATTTTTTTTTTTTTAAATCCTTGACTCAAGAGCTGTAATTCCTCAGGAAAAATCCCCAAAGGCTGAATGCAGGAATGAGAGGAGTGGCAGAAAGGAAGTGGGATGGGAATGATAGGGTGGGGAAGGGGGGAATGAGGACAGGGGAAATTAGGTTTGGTCTGAAGACAAAGGTCCCGTTCCCTAGATCAAGAACCTCTTTGCCACTTCTAAGAACCCCCAGTTGAAGACACCTTACATACATACTAGGCTGGAGCATGTGGGATAAAGTAGGGGATTTTTATAGTGAAGAGGTCAAGATCATTATTATAATCGAAACCAAGAGCTAAACCCACTAGGGTCACAGCACTGCAGAGCACAGGGAAGAGGATAAAAGGTTGAGTTAGAAAGTGCTGTGAGGAGTGCTCAATGAAGTATTGTCAATGTTTGTGTATAATCAGTTGCTGTCAAAGAGGGAGTCTGAGTCAAAGGCGAGGCTGTCAGCAAATTGGGAAGATGAAATAAGGGTGTTAGTGGTGATGACGGAGGTAAATTATTCTTGTTCATTGAAAGACGGGGCAGTTCAACAGAATGTGGCAAACTGAAATTGGAACCTGACGATTCTGAGTGGAACAGGGTGCCTCTCTGTGAGATACCCACAAGTAAGACTGGTGTGCCCAATGCAAAGACGGAAGTGTAGTCTTCCAGCCTCAGCATTGATGATAAGAAGGCCAGAAACCTAAATTTAGCCTGACAGAATATTTCGTTAAGAGTCATATCGGACCAACGGTTGCAATGGTGGTTAGAGATTATAACAAAATAGTCTGAGAATGGAATACCTCTATATGAAACTTGGAGGCCATGTACCACTGACCATGCAGCAAAGTCTCCCTGTCCATTGCCCCAAACATCAACATGACCAGGGACCCAGCAGAAAATGATTACTTTGGTTGCGCTGTATTTCTAGCAAAAACAAAGTTGTATGTTAAGAACTAGGGGATGAGGCAAATCTAATGTTTTAATAGCTTACAAAGCACTAGTCTGAGACTACTACAGTTGTTGAGGTAGGCATAAATTCAGTACGAATAATTGCAATGAAAAAAATTGCAGAGTTCAACTGTAAAAATGCTAGCACAACGCTGTCTCGGAACACTGCTGCAAACCCAAGACTGTCAGAGACTGACAAATTGTTTTTCATCAAGCTCGATTAAGTTCCTAACCATCTTTCCCTAGCTGTTGCACATAAGAAGCCACACTCATGATTATGACCCCACAAGGGAGGTTCCTTTATACTGGCGAGGGGCTCTTGATCTAGGAATTGGATCTGTGCTCCAGTTCCCTGAATACCTTCCACCCCTCCCACATGTGCTGTATGATCCTACGGGTTTAGCACTCCCCCATTAGAATAATCCTTGATGCTGGTGAGGGGCTCTTGATCTAGGGAATTGGATCTGTGCTTCAGTTCCCTGAATTAAGCCTGAATACCTTCCAGCCCCCCCACAGGCACTGTAGAATCCTATGGGTTTAGTGCTTCCCCATGATTATAATAATCATGATTACGAATGGCAAACAACTTGCATAAGTACTGCATGAAGAAATGAGTAGTGCCTCTGAGGACTGCCAAATCGAGCTACTGATTTGCTGTATCTCAAAAGACTTCGACTGTGTCTGTTAGACAACACAGAATTCACTTTTGACGTCAAAACCTCACATCTAAAGTACTGTGTGTCCCATTTTAGTTTGATTCTTGTTTTCTGAATAATAAAACTAATATAATCAAGGGGAAGTGCTAAATCCAAAGGGGTCATGTAGAGCTTAGGGAATGGGAGACAATCAGGTTCAATCCAAGGAAAGGAAGAACAGGTCCAGCTCCTTAGTTCAAGTCTCTCTTGCCAGCTCCGAGTAGCACCAAGGCACTCCTTTAGATACTGTTGTAGCTTTTATGTAAATTTTTTTCAACACTTCGGCCGTTTCTCACCAAGGCAGGGTGTCCCAAAAAAGAAAAACCCAAAAAGAAAAAACTTTAATAATCACTCACCATCAACACTTTCACCATCACTCATACATAATCACTGTCTTTGCAGGGGCACTCAGATACGACAGCTTAGACATCCCTCTAAACTGCCAATATCCCAAACCCCTCCTTGAAAGTGCAGGCACTGTACTTCCCATTTCCAGGACTCAAGTCTGGCTAACCAGTTTCCCTGAATCCCATCACAAAATATTACCCTGCTCACACTCCAACAGCTTGTCAGGTTCTAAAAACAATTCGCTTCCATTCACTCCTATCTAACATGCTCACACACACTTGCTGCAATTCCAGGCCCCTCGCCCACAAAACCTCCTTTACTCCCTCCCTTTAACCTTTTCAGTGATGACCCCTACCCCGCCTTCCTTTCCCTACAGATTTATACAATCTCCAAGTCATTCTACTTTGATCCACCTTTCTAAATGGCCAAACCACCTCAACAGCCCCTCTTCAGCCCTCTGACTAATTTCCACACTACGAATTTTCTGCATAATATTAGACACAACATCTCGCACTGCCTCCAGCCACCTTCTCGCTGCAGCATTTACAACCCATGCTTCACACCCATATAAAGAGTGTTGGTACCACTACACTTTCATACATTCCCTTCTTTGCCTCCATGGATAATGTTCTTTGTCTGCACAGATACTTCAATGCACCACTCACCTTTTTTCTTTCGTCAATTGTATGGTTAACTTCATCCTTCATAAATCCATCAGGTGACATGATAGCTCTCAAATATCTGAAAACATTCACTTCTTCCATACTCCTTCCCTCCAATGCAATATCCAATTTTCCTTTATCTAAATCATTTGATACCCTCATCACCTTACTCTGATCTATGTTCACCTTCAACTTTCTACCTTTACACACCCTCCCAAACTTGTCCAATAACCTTTGCAACTTTTTTTTTTTTTCAACAAGTCGGCCGTCTCCCACCAAGGCAGGGTGACCCAAAGAGAAAGAAAATCCCAAAAAAGAAAATACTTTCATCATTCAACACTTTCACCTCACTCACACATAATCACTGTTTTTGCAGAGGTGCCCAGAATACAACAGTTTAGAAGAATATACGTATAAAAATACACAATATATCTCTCCAAACTGCCAATATCCCAAACCCTTCCTTTAGAGTGCAGGCATTGTACTTCCCATTTCCAGGACTCTAAGTCCGGTTATATAAAATAACCGGTTTCCCTGAATCCCTTCACTAAATACTACCCTGCTCACACTCCAACAGATCGTCAGGTCCCAAATACCATTTGTCTCCATTCACTCCTTTCTAACACGCTCACGCACGCTTGCTGGAAGTCCAAACCCCTCGCCCACAACACCTTTACCCCCTCCCTCCAACCTTTTCGAGGACGACCCCTACCCCGCCTTCCTTCCCCTACAGATTTATACGCTCTCCATGTCATTCTACTTTGATCCATTCTCTCTAAATGACCAAACCACCTCAACAAACCCTCTTCACCCCTCTAATACTTTTATTAACTCCACCCTCTCCTAATTTCCACACTCCGAATTTTCTGCATAATATTTACACCACACATTGCTCTTAGACAGGACATCTCCACTGCCTCCAACCGCCTCCTTGCTGCAGCATTTACAACCCAAGCTTCACACCCATATAAGAGTGTTGGTACTACTATACTTTCATACATTCCCTTCTTTGCCTTCACAGATAACATTTTTTGCCTCCTCATATACCTCAATGCACCACTCACCTTTTTTCCTTCATCAATTCTATGATTAACCTCATCCTTCATAAATCCATCTGCTGACACATCAACTCCCAAATATCTGAAAACATTCACTTCTTCCATACTATTCTTTAGAATCCTCCAACATCACAGCATCATCAGCAAAAAGTAACTGAGTCAACTCCCATTTAGTATTTGATTCTCCATAATTTAATCCTACTCCTCTCCCCAACACTGTAGCATCTACTTCTTTTACAACCCCATCTATAAACATGTTAAACAACCATGGTGACATTACACATCCCTGTCTAAGACCTACTTTTACTGGGAAGTAATCTCCCCCTCTCCTGCACACCCTAACCTGAGCCTCACTATCCTCATAAAAACTCTTTATAGCATTTAGTATTATTATTATTATAATCATGGGGAAGTGCTTAACCCGTAGGTTTATACAACAGCTGTGGGAAGTGGGGGGGGGGGGGATGGAAGGTATTTAGGCTTAATTCAGGAAA